AGTAGGAGTTGTCTCCTCCCATCATGTTCCAATTCTCTCCATTTTTGGTTCTTTTCCCACATTCCTTTCCTACAGATCAACTAGAAAAGAGAGTTGAGCGGCTTGCTATGTTTACCTTGTTTCACGGCTGCTCAAACAAATAGTGAATTCTTTGCAAGGACCATAAACACAAATCCAATTGATAAACCAATAAAAGGAAGGGATGCTTTGTTCACACGTTCACCTATAGAACAGCAAAAAACTTTTTTTAAATTCATTATCATCATAATTTGGTACTTTAAAGAAATGTTTGACTGGGGCAATAAGTATGAGCCTTCCAAACTCTTAATATCCCTTATCTTCTTTTGGGGAAAGAGATGTGAATGGCACATAACAGATGGGTCTTGGGTAAAAAAAAAAAAGTAGGAAATACATCTTCTCTTTCAAAGAAATTACACTACGAGGACTAGGGGTGACATGATAGCAGTAATTCCAGTATTTGAGGGGCTGCCACAAAGAAGAAGGGGTGAACTTATTTTCCACAGCACCAGAAGGCAAGACAAGAAACAATGGATGGAAGCTAATCAAAGGAGAGAGGCAAAACGGAATTAAGGAGAAACTTCCTAACAGTGAGGACAATTAACCAGTGGAACAGCTTTCCTTCAGAAGTTGTGGGTGCTTCATCACGGAAGGTTTTTAAGAAAAGACTGGACAGTCACTTGTCTGAAATGGCATATAGTCTCCTGATTGAGCTGGGAGATGGACTAAAAGACCTCCAAGGTGCCTTCCGGCTCTAATCTGATTTAAAACTTCTCTTTGTGTGCCACAGCTCAACACTGAACATATAGCCCACAAGCCAAGCAACCTGATCCAAGTAACTGCTACAGCTGCTTTAATGGTTCCATATTGGTTTACAGTTAAATCTGGTTGAGTGAAGCAAAGAGGTTTTTATCCAAACTTCAGCTTATTAGCAAATGCTAGCAGAAGACATTTTGCTCCCTGAGGTAATGGACAGCATAACAAATGCTTCCTATTCCAGGCGGATTGGCAGATGAATCTTCCTTACGTATTAGTGATATTATTCACCACTAGGTTTATGAACAGTTTATGTGGTTCAGGCAGCTTGGCCATAGAAGATTCAGGAGCAAATTACCCCATGTATTTTAGCATGTAATGTCTGAAACCATACTTTACTCTCTTTCCTGATACAGCAGTTTTCTTCTTGGATATCAGTATGTGTTCCCAGAATATGTATGTATGTATGTATTTTCCCAGAATATGTTTTTTTTCTCGGGAAATATTTCATTTAGCCTTGGCAATTTCATCATCACAGAAATACTCTTTTTCCATATGTGAGAAAAATTTCTCTTTCATGCTGAAGAAGAGTGCTTTTTCTCAAGGTTTTCTTAGACAAAAAACAAAAGGTGCATGGACTACAATATCAGACAAGGAGCAGATTCCCAGCAAATATTTTGATGCAGCAAAGGAAATATAATTCAAAGTCTGCTGCAGATTTGACCAAGGTAGACAGTATATTTCTTCACATAACTACAAACTCAAAGGTTTGTTGCTCTGTGGAAGAAAAATGGTGAAGTATAGATCATTCTTGGTTGTCATTTATGAATACTTTTATGAGTATGGTTTTATGTTTGTGCTTGGTACTTGCCTTTTAAATTGTAACTAAATTATTTGATGGACTGTTCACACCTATATGGATATGCTTGATTTTTTTCAATGGATAGATATTTCCTCTTCAGTGGTGGGATATGAAAGAAAGAAATCTCCCCCCGCCCCCCCGATTTTCAGAATAAACTTCCAGACCAGGCTGGACATTAAAGATCTGAACGTTTTGATTGGTTTTTAATGTAAACCTATACTATACAAATGTGTGTGTGTGTGTGTGTGTGTGTAATGTACTGACACAAAAAAATATGCTTCATTAATTCATACATTTATTTTATGCTTTCAATATTGTAGACTGCTTTGAAGTTTTTTTTTCTGTTTGGGAATATAAAACATGTTTTATACATAAATGAAACTTGTACTCCATGCTGAAAGCAAAGTGCAAATAAAGAACTAAGGCTGCAAGAGGCTTGAATCCCAAACACCTTTCCCTTTCAATCTTCAAATGATTGAAACCTGAAAGTTAAATCATTATCTATAGATACTTTTTTGAGTTAAGAAATGCAAACATGGCTATTTGAAATACATAAAAGACTAGAACAAATAAAATTTAAAAAGTGACTAGAACAAATAAAAAAAACTTAGCAAAGACTATTAAGCAAATTTCTGGATTTTATTTGCATTTAAGATAACATGGTTCTTGGAAGACTGTACAGCAACAGTAGTAATTTGCATTATTAAGACTTTTTAACTGAATGGGAAAGTATTAATGCAGCAACCAGCACCCTCTAGTGGAATAAATTTCCTTCTAATGTGCTTCTAACAGTTTGGGCCATAATATGTAATATATTTATTAATTTATCATCTTTAATTGCTTATTCATTTATTGTTCTGCATTTCATCTGTTGTAAATCCAATCTGTCACAGTAGTCAAAATCACTGTAGGTTCAGAAGCCAAGTGCAAGTATGTTGCCGCTGAACAGGAAAGAGGAATTTAAAACATGCATTTTCTGCTAGGTTATGCAGTTGATAGGCTCATCTGGTTCAGCCGGACATCTAACCCCCAGACGTTAAAAGATACAAAACTTTCTCAGTTTTACATAGAAATGCAGAGTACTGAACAAGAAATCTTTTCCATACAAAAAATGTGGACTATTAACCAATTCCTAGCTCAACAATGTTTTCCAGAACATTTTGCTAGTGGAGGGAGTCAACAGTCCATTTTGGTGGGTAGATTCTCATTGATGCCCGAAAGAACACAACAATCCAGGTTATTTACTACATTTATTGTTCTCTGAGAACACAGACTGCCCAATCAGAACATCTGTCGCTTCCAAATGGGCCAAATGCAAGCAGTTTGCTTTTTTATACAAGCCAGGTTCCCAAAGTTGGAATGCTTTCATCTGGCTTCTTTTTAGCAAAGGCATATGCTACATGAATGAGCACTACTTTTACAGACATATTAGCATTTCTATTTACTCTTGTTTAACAGGGAGAAGAAATTGGGCAGGAGGATGTGCTTCCAATAGGAAAAAGGGAATTGTTACTATGTTGCATTTAGAACAGTTCCTGCAGTGTTTTTAAAAGGGTAAACAAGATACTCCATCCCCAACTTTTGTTTAAATCAATGCCAGAAAGAATATACATACCACGGATGTGTTTAAAGCTTTCTTTTGTTCCCAGCAATTACAACCTTATCTATAGGCTCAGCTATAATAAATACTGAAATAGTTTCCCTAAATCATCAAAAAAACTGAATGAAGTTAATAGCTAAGTGAAACAGTCTCTGAAACAGTTTTTAAAATTAATTTAAGAAAAATCTCCTAACTAATTTTTGTATCACAGTCCAACACAGAAATATCTGGTTATTATTAAAATATAATTTACTTCACCTTATTTTTAAATTGTATCTCAGAAAATACCCAATTGTCTGTCAGAAATCTGGATCATTTTTTAAAGCTATTAAGATATTTAACTAGGTATTAACTCCTAGTCCATTTATAACTTTCTAAAACCAACACTTTGATTGCCCTTTTGCTGTTAATTCAAAATAAAATAAAATAAAATACCCTTTCATTACAAATTGAAGGAAACTCACCCCGTGAATTCCTTGCAACTTGCAGTTCCAGAGGTTCTCAATACTTGAATTACAATTACAGTAATTTCTCTTCAACCCCTGTACAAACTATTATAGAGTTATAATCTAAAAAATATTTCCAATTTTAGTTAAATTCAGTTACTTTTGAAATGTGGTATTATTTCCCAGATCTTGGCCATTCTTTTGCAGTTACATTATTTTCTGAAAATATCAAACATCCCTTTAAAAAGTCTATTAAAGTATCTGAAAGCACTTGTATTAACATTAACTCTGAAACTGAACGTTGCCATTACTCTTGTACATCATCTATAATAATTGAAATTGATGCAGTTTATTAAATAAATGAACAAACAAGATAACATCTCACATGAAGATACAGTATAATTTTTACCTGTTTAAAAACAATTCACTTCAGAAAATATAGAGGTACAATATATATAAAAACACACATCAAAAGTATGGAAGAAATAATTCCTGGTAATGCTATATATCCCTGTATTTTTCTTTGTCAATTAACAATTGAAGCATCTTAATCCTCCTTCTATATATAATTGTATTTCTATTTCATACAGAACTGAAAGAAGTTCTATTTCATATACTACCAAAGTGGGAGCAAAGTTTATTTTATATGCGGGCATATAAAAAGAGGAGAAATGTAAAAATGTTTATTTCTAATTACTTGAGCTGTGCCCATGAATATCATTAATTGCGCAATCTGTTCTTAACATGGTTTAAACAGAAAAACAAGTTTTTAAGACTGACATACTAAAAATAAAGTTGGAAATATAACAAGAAAAACAGCAACTTCTAAATCAGAGCTTGGAGATATTCTGCAGAGCAAATAATCTAAATATGAACTGAAACAAAAATCAATAGAAAGCCTTGAGTACCCCATTGTATGAGTTAATTCCACGGAATTAATTCATACTATGGGAAGTAGCCTTGAAGTTCCTAGGCTATAAACAATCACTTTTACTAATTACCTAAGCAATCTTGGGATAATTATTGGACAACAGCAAGTCAATTTGTAATATAAAACCAAAGGAACACTATATAAAACAAATGGGTTCACAGGCAGAAATTCTGTGTAAACATCAAAGATTTGATCCATGATTGCAGGCCAAGACAGGTCTCAAGGGAAAAGGCAAATGGGTTTTAATGAAAATCTAACATAAATCCTGTTCACTTAATATTGTGAGATATTTATCTCCCTAAAACCACACTTTTATTTGTATGACTGTTAAAAGACTATTTCTAGGGTCAGCTGCTTGTGCTGAACTCCCTTGCAAACTATGAAGGAAAATAGTTCTGAATTTAACCTCCAAGTTATGACTAATTCAACTTATATACAGTAAACACATTTGTCTAATACCGGTACTACAGAGAAATAGTTTTCAGTTACAATTTCAATCAGTGAAATTTGTAATAAATGTACCTTTGAGACATGCAGTTTTATTTTAAAACTATTTAAAAACATTGAAAAACAATTCATTTTCACCACAATGCAGTTAAAAACTCTCCTTCCCCCCCCAATAGCATATTTTTTAAGAAAAAAATCTATCACAATAGTAGTCCAGTAAACAATTATTACATTTACATTTCATATATCATCACTGCTCATGTGTAAGTACCATGTTTCTCAGAAAACACGACCCACCTCAATAATAAGCCAATCCTAAGTTTTGTTGGGGTGGGCCTAATATTACCCTTATCCTGAAAATAAGCCCGGGGGATGGGCATGGCCGGCACAAGTGGTGGCGCGGGCATGGGGGGGGGAAACTGTTCAGATGCAGAGAGGGACAAATGTTATTCTGTGCTGAAGCAGAGGCATTCCAAACCTTCAGCGTATCCCAGGATTGTACCGCGGAAGGTTTGGAATAGAGCCTTCAGCATTGCAATCCTGGGAGACTCGGAGTGGAGCTGTTTTCACGAAAGGTAGGAAAATGGGGAGGGAAATTTTCCTGCCTGTTATCCATTCCTCTTGGAGCAGGACCCTGAAAGGCTTGTTGTGACATTGCACTCATTAAATGGCAGCACCTCTGTGAGCTTCATCACACTGGTGCAGCTGGCATCCTGCTGTGAGCAGCAGCACCAGTGTATCCAAACTCGCAGCGATGCCAGCGCTCGCATGCGCAATGGCGCAGCAATCTTTGCAGAGTCATGCTTGATGAGGCTGTGCCGATGTGATGAACCTCGCAGCAATGCCACTGCTTGCATGTGCAACGCTACAACAAGCCTTGCAGGGTCCTAGGATACGCTGAAGGCTTGGAGTGGGGCCCTTTTTGTGAAAGGCAGGAAAGTGGGGGGAGAGAGGGAGCTTGAGGAATGGATGACAGGCAGGAAAATTCCCCTCCCCATTTTCCTGCTGTTTGCCAAAAAGCCTCCATTCCGAACGCTGATGTTTTGGAATGGAGGCTTTTTGGAGAACAGGAGGAAAATGGAGAGGGAGAATTTTCTTGCCTGCCATTCTTCCCTCAGTCTGTGCTAAGCTTGAGGCCCTACAGAAATGGCCCAGTGGAGAGTCAAGGGTGCGCGTAGGGCATTCCTTTTAGTAGGCGGCCACAAAAGAAGCAGCCTGGTGGAGAGGCAAGGCATGCAGGGCATTCCTTTCAGCTGTGATAGAAGCGGCCCGGTGGCTAGGCGAAGCGCATGGGCGGTGGGGAGATTAAGACATCCCTCGAAAAGATGGCCTGGCCGTTTTTTCAGGGGTCTAAAGAAAATAAGGCCTGTCTTATTTTCTAAGAAACATGGTAGTTTTTATGTTTGCTTATTGCTCCAAGTATTAAACTTCAAATGCAACAAATTTATACCTTGTATGTTACAGTTTATAGTGTCATGAGAATCCGTCTTAAACTGGAAGAGAATATGACAAACTTCCAAAGTCTTTATGAACAAAAATACTGTACTTACCACAACATGTTTAAAGAGTTGTGTTGCAATTAAAAGGTTTCCACTAGAAACATTTGCATTAATAGACTTGACATTTACATCAAACATCAATCAAATCAGAACTTTTACAACTTTGATTGATAAACTCATCAGTCTTTGTCCAATTCATCATTGCTTTTTCTTCTTTGACTGCTCGTCAGGGTTTAATTTGCGTTTCTTAACTGAGCTGGGTTCATCTTTTTCAGCATCTTCAAAGAAGAGATAGTGATGTAAGCCAAAGTTTTCAAAAGCCACACGTGGAAAATATTATCAATAGTATCAGCTTTTGATGACTACATTGTCTGGCATCCATGCAGTCTTATTGGCATCAATACAAAGGCAGTTCAAAGCTGTTGCCATTTCCTGGATTCCCCCCCACCCCCACCCCATGACCAAATCTAGACCACAGGCCTGGGAATTTTGTAATAATCATCCAAATATTAATCAGGTCCAATCCTTCTTAGCCTCTTCATCATCAAATAGCTTTTATGATTAAGAAGTTACAGGAATGGAGATTAGGGAAACTTCCTTAGCCATAACAACAGTCCAACTATGAATTCAATGACTAAGGGCTTTCCATCAATGGTAATGCTTGAAAAGAAGCTAAACAGATCGCTCTTGTATACATTCGAACTAAGCCTCCTATAACCTGGCTTACAATCTGGTGTTTTTCAGGTGTGTTAGCCCAATATTTCTCAAACTTGACAACTTTTAACTATGGGGTTGAAGTCTACATATCTTAATGTTGCCAAGTTGGAGAAACACTGTGTTAGACTTTAACCACAGCCAGGGACTGAGACTGGGAAAGACTATTTCAGCACCAAGGTGGCACGAGTTTTGAATTTTTCCCTTCTCTAAGAACTTATTGTTTAATTTAATCTTTAAATACTGTTCCTGTTTATTAAAAGCAAGTTCAATTTCAAATCTTTCATCATCTTTAGACACAGGTAGATAAGGCTATGCTTAGACCAGGGGTGTCCAACCTTGGCAACTTTAAGACTTGTGGACTTCAACTCCCAGAATTCCTCAGCCAGCTTTGGGAGTTGAAGTCCACAAGTCTTAAAGTTGCCAAGGTTGGACACCCCTGGCTTAGACATTAAGAAGCATGACTCTATGGCCAGCAAGAAATATTATTAGTTGTTAGTAAAAAAAAATTCCCTAGGAATACAGCAATTCACCTAGGTATATAAAACTGAATGCATTAATCATGCTACTCAAAATATGCATAAGAATGTGCAAAGAAAGATTTGGACTTTCTACATTTCATTTTAGAAGCTGCCATCAAGTGTAGGATGAAGTTTAATATTACTAACATTATAACTGGATTCAAAACTATTCTGCATAATTCATATAAGAGATGCCAATCTTCAAACAGAGAAATATTTTTTCCTATTAAAGGAATAATACATAAAAACAGCCAACATCATTTATTTTGAATACAACTCAACACTATTACCTGACTCAACATTTTCTTGTTCTTCTTCTGGTAAGAAATGTACGTTGTTCACATGCTTTGGAGCATCATCTCCATTATCTTCATAGATATTGGACCATTTGATTGCCATATCACGTTCAGGAGGAGGTGGAGGCTTTTTCTCTTTGATAGCGTAAGTCTCAGGGGGAGGCACAGCATTTGTGGTCCATGCCTTGAATTCCTTAGGAGGCTGTTGAAAGAAATATGAAAAGACCAGTAATAGGAAATATGATATTTCAAAGGTATGACAATAACAGATACAAATTACTCTTACATCTGAAAATCTAGCCAAGTTGTAATAAGCATTTAACATTTATGCTAGTTCTATTTAGATATACAAATAGCTTAAACAAAATACTCACTGTAAGAAAATTATGGTGAGAAAAAGTGAAAAATAATAAGAAATATTAATGTAAAAAAACATTATTAAATTCTATCACGTAGCAGCTAACTAAGGTCACTAGAATGGAAGGCTGATGGTGCCAAGCTCTCTTTCCTAGAAATCTGGCCTTATCACATTCTTTGGAACTATGGTTTGCTATGTCCTATGTTGACCATCTTTTTTCCTGAGGGTATCTTTAATGTTTGAGAAGGAGATGGCATAAATAATACAGTCCATCATGTGCTAATTTTCTAACGTTTAGAATGTCAAGTTACAAAAAAGTGGAAATAATGTCTGTAATGCCTTATCCTCATTATGTTGCATGGAGGTTGGTAAGTAAGTGTTTTAGATCTTCCTCTCCCCAAGGTTGTAAATCACTCTCAAAACAGATAAGCAAAATAAGACTTTATTTTAAAAAGGAGTAGATAAAAATATTAAAACTCCTTTTAAAGTTTTAAATATTAAAATGAAAACATGCAATGTAGAAGTTGATAAATGGCAATTTTTAAAATTACAATGTCCTGGGCCAGGAATCACGAAACTCTTCAGTTCACTTATCCCTTCATGAAGTTTCAAACTGTTCACCAACTCCCATATATTACAGTATATGAAAATAATATAGTAAATTTTATTGTAGTTAATATTACTATGAATGAGAATAATAACAATAATAACAACAATCCTTAGGGGTTGATATTGACCACTTTAGGAAATACCACATGTTAGAATATTGGAGACTTTTTCTATCTCTAACCAACAGAAGGGATGAAGGAACTTGGCTCTATGTATGATCAAGAGCCATGTCTCAGGAGGGATGTTGACTGTGATTGAGTTTGCGCCTTTGGTTGAGTGATGGGTGGCTATATAAATGATTTAAAAATAAATGAAATAAAATAATCTGGCAAACAGAGAATGTTCACCTCACATCCCATAAGACTGCAAAGTTTCATGCCCCATATCCTGCACAAAGTAACAACAACATTGAATTGAGAAGTCATTCCAATTCACTTAGCACTTCGAGATATTAAAAAATGTGTACCACAGGGACCATTTGTTTTAGTGTGGGCTCGCCCTTCAAGAGAGGGACAGTTGGTGTAATAGTTAAGGCATCATACTACAGATGGGAAGATCTTGAGTTCTAGTCCTGCTTTAGGCACAAAACCACTATGTGTTTCATTGATGCATGAAATTGAGATGCATGAAAACCTATCCCATATTACAGAGTTATGTGCATTGTTCTTAAAAAAGCTTTCCACTACCATAGCAAAACCCCTAGGCATAATATATGAGTTATCATTCAGAACCAGCTGCTTACCAAACCTATAGTCTTTAGCAATGGTCACCCCTATTTTCAAAAAAGGTGACCCCTACCTGGTTGAAAACTACTGGCTAATCTCATTGTGTTGTGTCACGTGCAAAGTTATGGAATCAATTATTAATCAATGCATTACATTCCACCTAGAGTCAAACAACTTACTCTCCAATAAACAATTTGGTTTGAGAAAAAAATTGTCCTGCAATTTGCAACCTCTACATTGCAAAAACATATGGACTACACTTCTTGACCAGGGTAAAGCAATAGATGCAATTTACATTGACTTCTGCAAAGCATTTGACTTAGTGGTACATGTGAACTACTATTAAAATTAAATTCTTACAGCATTTCCTGATCCCTTCACAAGTGGATTACTGCCTTCCTGTCAAACAGGCAACAAATAGTAAAAATAGGAAACGCCCTATCAAACTCTGTACCAGTTATCAGCAGTGTCCCCCAAGGGAGCATTCTAGCACTCACACTCTTTACACTCTATATAAACAACCTTTGTGATCACCTTATTAGCAACTGGGTCCTATTTGCTGATGATGTAAAACTATTCAACACCGCCGTCAATGCTACCTTCCTTCAAAAAGACCTTGATTATGTATCTGAATTGTCTAACAATTGGCAACTCCAAATCTCTACCAACAAAAGCTCCGTCCTACACATTGGTAAAAAAAATCTATATACCAAATACAAGCTAGGCAGATATGACCTTGTTGATGACCCCCTCTTTGTCAAGGACATTGGTGTTCTCATATCGAATGACCTAAGTGCCAAAGCTCACTGCAACAGTATTGCCAAAAAGGCTTTACGAGTTGTAAATTTAATTTTATGAAGCTTCTCCTCTGGTAATACTGATTTGCAAACTAGGGCATTCAAAACCTTTGCTAGACCAATACTTGAATTCAGCTCTGCTGTCTAGAATCCGCACTGTATATCAGACATAAATACAATTGAGCGAGTCCAGAAGTATTTTACCAGAAGAGTATTACATTCCTCTGTTCGCAACAGAATACCCTTCAGTACCAGACTTGAGATTCTAGGCTTAGACAACCTTGAACTATGCCAACTAAGATTGGACTTAAGCATAGTACATAAAATCATATGTTACAATGTCTTACCAGCTAATGAATATTTCAGCTTTAACCACAACAACACAAGAGCGCACAACAGATATAAACTAAATGTAAACCACTCCAAACTCAATTGCAGGAAGTACGATTTCAGCAACAGAGTGGTCAATGTCTGGAACCTGATTCTGTTGTCACTTGCTCAAACCCCCACTCCTTTACCCTCAAACTAACCTCTATTGACCTCACCACATTCCTGTAAGGGGCATGCATAAGTGCACAATTGTGTCTACTTTCTCTGTCCTATTGTCCCCAATTATTATTTCCTATTTCTTGTATTTAAACTTATGTTTATTCTTGTTTCTGTTGTATTGTAAGCTTCTGACAAATAAATAAATAAACAAACAAATAAATAAATAAATAACAGAGTTAACCTTTGTGTTTATGCTACATTGACTTAGAAGGGGGACCCTCTTTGTCAAGCCTGCCTAATCCTGGGGTTTCCTTAGCCAGGAGCCTTTCCTGCCAGGAGAAATACGCCCAGAAGAATGGAAGAATCTTTGCTGACCTCTTCGGGAGCTCGCACTACCCGGCTTTCCCAATCGATCTCCTTATGCAGCGGATTATAAAGAAAAGCTGGTCGATTCACGCTGCGGAAGAGCTCGTCCGGCCCAGGCAAGCGCGATTTCCCCTCCGGGGTGCCGTTCTGGGACTGCTGCGAAGAGCCCTTGGCCTCCCGGCCGGAGCCTTCCTCGCCCTCAGCATCCGAGCCGCCGCTCGAGCTGTTGTCGCTGCCGTACGCCGCGAAGAAGCTGAGCGGGTCCTTTCCCTCCGCTGCTGCCATGGCAGGGATTCGTGCCACTGAAACACCCGTCCTCGGGAACCGGCGCATGCGAGACGAAAGTTCCGAGTTCGTGGCGTATGGGGGAAAAGCCTCTCCGGTTCCTTTCAGCCTGTACTATCTGCCAGGGGTTCCCCGGCAGGATTCGTGCTTCCGCTCTGAATAATTCCCTTCTTCTTGGCCATGGGTTTAGTACGGACTTAGTTTTATTAAACTCTGAGTTTAATAATCCATTTATGTTTTAATTATAAAGAAAAATAATAAAGAACAATCTATCTTCTTTCCGAACCTTCGGTTCCATAATTCCGAAGGTGAGTTTATCCATTCTAAACTGGTAACGCATCGAAATAGCGCTGCCGTATATAGGCTGCAGAAATCTGGACGACTACTAAATGAAAACACTGATCTAGAATTCTCCATCACTCCTTGTGGTTGTCCCTATTTTTGCAGCACAGATGACAGCCCAAATTAAAAAGCATGCCGTCAGTTATATTTTTCTACGCGTATCTGTAAAAAGTGAAATGAAAAGTTTTTGCTGTGTACTGTAAGTCAGTCATTCGCTTGAGTAGAACTGAAAAAGTCCCCGTATTCCTTTACAATATTTACCAATACCATACATACCATGTATGTTTACTCAGTAGTTGCGTTGTGATTAAAGTAGGAAGTGCTCAAACTTAGCCGCCGTGCATGGTTAAGAAAAAATACAGAGAGCTCAGACATATACAGTGTTCGAGCTCTATAACCGGATTAGAAGACAGAACAGTCTTTCAAAGACTACCTATAGAATTGGGATAAAACATTGGTTTAGTCACTCTTAGTAAAGCCGATGAACAAATACAAAGAAATGCAGAAGCAGCAGGGCATGGTCACTGTCATGGAAGATAAAATTGGATAGCAACCAATAAGAAATGAAAGCATATCCACACATTTAGGATAAGTCTGTGGTGCTGAATTTATTGCACTACCCTGAACGAGCAAGCAATTATCACTTGCTATTTTATGTGGATGCAGCAATAAGAGAAAATCCAGAGATTACCAGAAAAGATATAATCCTAGAACAAACTTTTATTTTGTTGCTTGTTTGCCTGCTTAAATGCCATCAAGTCCGTGCCAATTCTTAGTGACTGCAGTTGACAATTCATACTGTAACAGTGTTGTAGCCAATGACGTTCAAGACAAATCCTGCTGAACATTTTCCCCAAAACTTTCCTTAGCAATCATGTAGGTTGACTTTCTTTAGGATTGCCCCCAACATGGTTCTTCTGATTTTCCAGCATTGCTGCTGTAATTTAATTCATCTACTTTGCTGCCAATTGTTTTTTTATTTCCATCTTTCCCAGTGTGATAAAATTCTCCAGAGCACTAGGTTTTTGTCGAGTGTGTCCAAAGTGAGCCTGGTCTTTTGTTTCATACAGAGTAAGTGGGATAAGTCATATATATATAAACCTCGACAGTTAAAAAAAAGTGACAAGCAACAAGACTTAGATACCACCAAATTAGCAGTGTAGTCCCCTAAATGATAGCAATAGCATTTAAGACTTATATGCTACTTCACAGTGCTTTACAGCCCTCTCTAAGCAGTTACAGTCAGCCTATTGCCCCCAACAATCTGGGTCCTCATTTTACCAACCTTGGATGGAAGGTTGAGTCAATCTTGAGCCCATGGGAACCAAACTGCTGGCATTCAGCAAAATTAGCCTGAAATACTATATTCTAACCACTGTGCTACCGCGGCTGGTCAGTCCAGATTGGAATGAGTTTAAGTCCATTGAGCAGAAACTTGTGGCGTATGTGGACTTTTCCGTGGAAAATATCTGCTAGTAAAAACTAACGTTAAACATGGTTCCCTGCACCTGACAAGGAATAAGCGCAGGAATGTAGACTGCCAGTCCTGATATAGTGGGCACTGCAACAGGATATGAGCTATTGTTTTGTTGGTTGCATCGTGGCATATGCAATGATGATCTATTCAACTATCACCTCAGCAGATTCAAGAATAGAACATGCTTAGTTAATTTAAACACTTTCTTCAAGAAAGTATCTTTAAGATAGTTTAGAATAAGGGTGTGTACTATAAATCAGAGGTCTTCAATCTCCAGGCTGCAGACCAGTACCAGTCCAGGGCCTGTTGTAAACCAGGCTGTGCAAGCGGCAAGTGAAAGAAGCTTCATCTGTACATCTGCATCTAGGTTGCATGCAAAACCATTCTGCCCTCGGAAAACAATTTTTCATCCCAAACATTCAAAAATGACCTGCAGCAAAGGACCTGTTCTGAATATATTTATAAAATACTTATTTAAAAAAATAGCTTCCTAATGGTATAAGAACATAACTATTGATGAAGAGAAGCCAAGATTAGGACATGACATACACTGAGAAAACTATTATTTTAAAAATCAATTAAGTTTATTATACAAATGCTTCAGATTGCCCACTTGTAAATATTTGTAAAGCACTGAACAGTAACCACAAACTTCCAAATATTTTTTCAATTCAACATTGCTTTATATAAAGTATACATTTTTAAAAAGTATGATTTAAGAATATAATGATTTCCAAAGACATTAATTTAATAGAGCAGTATGTTATTTTTCGTTATGTACCTATAATAATTCACACACGTTTTAGTATACATAGAAAGTGAAAAATCCCTGATCTAATTTCAATACTAAGGCACTAGGAAATTTTTTTTAAAGAAAATATGACAGTAATAGTGACAATCAGTTCGTAAGTATGCAAATACAGTATTTTCTTATAAATCTGGCAACATCTGCAATTAGTAGTCAAACAAAAAGGTTCATGCTCTGTAAAACATCATGGAAGTTTGAGTTGAGGTAGCATTTGAGTTTAAAAGCTGTTAAAGAAATGGTCAGATTATAGACCTAAAAATCAATTAGATTTGATTGTGGACACAGTTGTGTCCTAAAACATGGGCAGTGCACTGTATAACACAACTTAGCACCGATCTGAAGTCATATAGAATAGGTTTCAGCCTTAGACAGCTAGTAACGTGACCCCAAAAGATTATAAGCTTTTAACATTGTGATTTATATATGTTAAGTATATATTTTAAATTTGCTCTAAGACAGGGCTGTCAAACTCCCGGCCCATGGCCAGATGTGTCACGCCTATACCTGGTTTAGTGAAGGGGGGGAAAGTCCTGATATGTCACATGATGCCATCGTAACGTGAGTTTTACACCCCTGCTCTAAGACAATTCCTCTTCGCTCAATGCAGCCCAGGCAAGCCAAAAGGCTGATCACAGTCGTTTTAAAAAGCTGGGCTGTAATCTTATGCATGTCTGAGAACAAGTTCTACAGAACTCAGCAAGATAGTTTTCTAAATAATGTGCAAACCCAAAACTACTTATTTAATTTAGATAACTTGCTGCAGTTTTATACAAAATGTTGTAGAACATTTTTTAAATAAAACTTTTGCTGTCCCAGAAGCCCATGGAAGTTGTTTTTCTTTTGGCTAGTAAAATCTGAATTTAATCTAAAGTACTGTTTGTTATTGGCCCAGAAACAAAAATGGCAAAAGAGAAAGAAATGTTTTATGCTACCTAGAAAATAAATATCCTTTAAACTGAATATTTTCTTTACAGTGTTGCACCTCATCAAGCCATGAGAAAAAAAAAAGAAATATTTTATATTCCCTGAGATGGCATAGTACAAATTATGTGTCCAACAAAACATTGTTTCACCTTGAGAAATAAGCAAGAAAATTGAGAAGTTTCATTTTAGAAATATTCTCAAGATTGTAAAAGTGCAAACTTAAACTATATCCACTAGAAGCTCCACTAAGCTCAAACTGAGTCAAGTAAGTATGCTACAGATATTTTACACTCCAATTCTTAAAGAATTCAATACATTTAATGCCTAACATCTTAGAAACTCCCCAATTCAAAAGAGATTTCTTAATTGCTATAGTTTTCCAAAATACTTGGATAATTCAATAATTCAGAATAAAAGATAGTCCTTGTTTAAAGCGATATTTGGACTTTCCATCAAGTGATGCAATCGTAAAGTACTTCACATGACCATACTGCTTAGTTATTGGCATTTCCAGAAATCTCTAGTTACACTGTTAAACAAGACTGTACAAGATGTTAAGCAAGGACATCAAATTATTGCAACTACCAGCTTCCTCAATTTTGCTTGTCAGAAGCAGGAAGGTAGCAAATCGGGATCACATGACTGTGGGATGCAGTGATGATTGCAGGCTGCCTGGATTACGTTCAGGTGACTGTGGGTGCGTATGTGCGCCAAAACAGCCAGAATTTTATGGATTAAGTACCACTCATTTAGCAGGTCAGTGAACAAGCAATAAACAAGGAGCACCTGTATGAGACCAATCAATCTTCAAATAGTCATGATACTGCAATTCAGAAGTATGTCCCTCTTTGCTGAGGTTCTCATTACTTCCTGATCCTTCTGTTCAACAGAATGAAATATTTTTTGAACATTAAGAATATTTTCTTAAGTGTTCAGTTTTTATTTATTATTTATTTAGCCTATGGCACGTGTTAGCCAGGGATCACCAAGGCTGCCTCTGTAGAAAGGAATTTTTTCGGGCGGTGTTATCTTTACCCTTGGGACGCCTTATTGCCGGTAGGCAATCAGGAGAGGCTCCTTCCTTGTCCCTCTGCGGTTTATTTACTCACGGGAATCAAGCCGAGTTGTCGGCCTCAGCAGTGCGTAACCTCAGCGTCTTATCACGTGAGCCACCATGGCCCCAAGAGTACTCAGTGCAACTGAATTGTTTTCAGTTGAAAACTTTATTCCAAAGTAATAGCTGTAAGGGAAATTAACTCCAAACATCAATCTGGAGTTTCTCTATGCAAAATAATTGTCCTTGTGATTGATTTGCATAATTAGATAAACCTTTTAGTAATCAGGAATCTATGTGACATAATTTCTGCAACTATTTTGTCTGCCACTATGTAAGAAGAAAATGAAGTTGTCTGACATTATGAACTGAATGAACATAGTAAACTATTTACTAAAGTGTAGAAATATTAAATCTTTTTAGGTATTCCCATAT